TCCGCTTGTGCAGGGCATCGTCCAGCCCGCTTTGCCCCTTCCCGCCCCCGTCAGTGGCTCTGCGGTGGACGGACGGTCCCACCCCAGCCCTGCCTCGGTCACCCCTCCTAGGCCAGCCTGTCTTCCACACCACTTCCCGGGCCCTGTCCTGGCACCTGCCCGGGGAGGGGCGATGGCCCCGCACACAGACACGGCCCCGCAGCGGATGACAGTAAACAGGCCAGCGAGCGTGTGGGGGCCCCGGGGATCAAGGGAGGTAGAGGAAAAACAGAATCAGGCGTCCAGGCAAGGAGGGGCTTGAGCCAGGCCCCGCGGGAAGTCGCAGGTGCCGGAGGGGCAGGTGTGGGGGGGGACCCACGCAAGGGCCTGTGGGGCAGGAAGGGCTGAGGCCGAGCAGGGGGAGCTGGGGGCAGCGGGAGAGCAGAGCAGAGGAGGGGGTGCCCGGGGTCGCGAGGGCTCCCTGGGTTCCGGAGTGGACAACGTGCCGCGTCCAGGGGCCACATCTGAGCAGCGAAAGGTGGGTGCGCAGGGGCCCGGCATGTCCGCAGCAGGGTTCACAGGCGTTGGGGAGCCAGAAGGGCCCGGGGTTTGGGCTGAGCAAATGGAAGGGGGGGTTCCCACAGCCGAGGTGAGGCAACATCACCATCAGGGGAAGCTGAGCACTCAGTTTGGGTCTAGCAAGTGGAGGCCCCCAGGCTGGCCTGCAGGGAGGCGGGCACGGCTGGGGGCTGGGGGCGGAAGAGAATCTGGCCCTGGGGCGGGTGGGGTGACTCCTCCACGCCCCTGGACCTCCCTCGGCCCAAGGTGGCCGAGACCCAGCGTGGCCTGGGGAGGGGCCCAGGGTGCCGCCAGGCCCAGCTCAGGTCTCCGTCTCCCCTCAGCCACCCCAGCTGGGCTCTGTCCTCTCAAGCCCCGGGAACCCCTCCCAGGTCCCCAGCACCTCCATGTGGCTGAGCCTCTGTCCCCTTTCTGTCCTCCCCATGTCACCTCTTACAGGTCCTCCCAGCTACCCCTGGGGCCGGCCTCCCTGGCTTCCCCGGCTCTCCCCGTGTCCCCGGCCATGTGGTCCCCACCCAGCCCTGGCTTTAATCGCCCATGCCCGGGACCTCCGGGGTCATCTCCACACCCGCTTCCTGCCCAACAGCCACACCCGAGTGTCCAGGTGGCTGCTCCAGCCAGGTGGCTGCCCGACCCCTGCCCACCTCCCACCCTAAGCCTTCTCTCCAGCCTCCCCGGGAGCAGCAGAGCCTCGTCCACAAGGCCCCAGAGCAGACTTGCGTGTGCTGCCCGCACCCTCCCCGCCCACACTCTGAAGGTCACCTTCAAACTCCATCCTGTGCCTGACCACCACCCACCCTCTATTGATGCCTCACTGTCTGAGCCAGCGGGGGGTGGGGGTCACCTCCCAGGCCCCCAGCACCCTCGACCCCCCTCTCTCCTGTGGCTTCAGGAACAGCCACAGCCGACACTGCGTTTTTGCCCCAGCGCCCTGCCATGATTTCACCCATATCAGGCCAGAAACCTTGGGGTCACCCTCCCCCACCAACCCCTCACATCCAGCCCGACAGCAAATCTCGTCCAGACCCGCAGGGCTCCTCTCCACCTCCCTGCCCACCTGGCCTGCGGTGCAGCCTCCCTCACCTGTGCCGCGGGTGCCTCGGCCCTGCCCCCCTGCGGCCTGTGTCAGCACTGCAGCTGGCAGCCCCAGCGCCTGTGTCCCTGTGTGAGCTCAGGTCCCGGCTCAGCTGCACAGGAGGCGCCTAGGGACTGTTTCTTGCCGCGCAGATTGGCTTTTCCCGCCTGGGCCTGCCCTCGGTGTCCTTCCTGCCCCAAGGTCTGCCCCGCCGGCGCACAGGCAGTCTGTGCTGCCCCTCCGCACAATGCCGACGCCGCTCATGCAACACATGTTCACTGATGCCTGCCAAGCCGGGGGACGGGAGGACAGGCCAGGCCCCACCGTCACAACCCAGCCACGGGAGGACACCGCAGCCCAGACAGGCCCAAGCCCCACTCGACACAGACAGGCGCAGGGAGAGCCAGCGGCGTCTAGTGTCACCCTCGTTTATCGCGTGAGACCCTGGAGCTCTGCAGAACAGTGGCTAGGGAGGAGGCCGGGAGGGGTTGCTGGAGAGTCCTGGGCATCGGGGGCCGTGCGGGCACCGCCATCCCCACGGCGCACCTCGGCTCGTCTAGACGGGCCCCTCGCTGCGGTAACAGAGCCAAGCTCCATCTCTGCATCAGCCTCGGGCCAGGCGCTGAATGGCCCCAGCAAGGGGGAGCCACAGACTCAGCCTTTGGCGTTGTCTGGCCAAAGACCCCGCAGGGGTTGCTCAGCCTCGGCAGGGCAGGAGGGCGGGAGACACAAACAGAGAACAGCTGAGGGTGCAGGAGGGAGGTGCTGAGGCCGCGGCTCTCCGGCTTTCCTGCACCTCGATCTGCGGACCCGTCTGGCCAGGACACACATGGACCCCACGGACAGCCGTGGACCGAGTCTCAGAAAGCAGCGTTGCCTCCCAAAGACTCAGCTGGTGGGTGCCAGGGACGGACCTCGAGGCCATCCCCGGAACCCCACACCACACTGGCGCACTTGGCAGGAAACCTGGCTGGGGGCTCGGGCAGTGTCCTGAAATGCGACACTTCCTTCCACGGCAGGCCCCCAGGCAGCCTTTCCACAGCAGGACAAAGTCTTGAACTGCAGTACGATGCCAGCTGTTCATTTTGGGTTTAAGACCCTCTGGGCTGAATACTGTTTTCTCTGGTGACATTTTCATGCCGTGGGATGAGGTCGCAAATGCTCTGTTTCTCTGACACAGAAACAGGGAAACCCCATCACTCTCCAGATTAGAATGACCCAGCCCATCCCACCTCCCCGAGGGGACAGAGGCTCTGGAGCCAGGGCTGGCCCTGGAACTCTCCCTGCCCTGGCACTCGGCCTAACGCAGGAGAGGCACTCGATCGACACTTGCTGAGAAATGAATGAACGGACCACAGTCATCCTTGGTCTAAGAAGAGCAGACTGATGACACGGTTGGCCACTGCCGGTCCCCAGGGCACAGAGCGGCAGCAGCGGGGTGGACACCGCGGCTCCTACAGGGAGGGAGGCCCCCCCCCCCATGGCCCAGGGCAGCGGGTCTCCACCCCCGACCCGCCCCTCCGGGACAGGCACCTGCGCAGCCGCCGTCAACCTCGGCTGGGTGCTCCCTCGGCGAGTCCCTCGGCGATGCCTGCTCCACTAGAGGGGAAAGGTTGTACCAGAGCCCCCACGTCCCCACGCCCCTCGCCTGGTCGGGCAGGGGTGCTGACCCCCAGGCCAGGGCTCCAGGCTCTGCTTTGGGTTCCAGGCGGCCTGGTGGCCAGGAGACAGCCCCTCCCGGCTCACCCACCGCCTGCATCGAGAGCCTAGGGGTACACAGCTGTCCCCACCAGGGGAGCCCCAGGCCTGCTGTGTGTTTCCAATAACAACTCCTTGGTGGACAAAGGGATCAAGAGCAAGGGGGTGACAGACAGGGGCACGGTTTCCGCACTGGGCTGCAGTCCTGGTGCTGGGTTTCAGATTCAAGGTCGTGCTAAGCGTGTTAGAGGCCGTGCTGCTCCTGGGCTCCACACACGGAGCCAGCGCCCATGTCAGGCTATGTAGACAGGTCACCCACGCCCCTCACCCAGCCTCTGGGCCACACGGGCGCTGCCTTGTCTCCCCACAGCCTTGCCTGGGGACACACACACACAGACACAAACACACATGTACCCATCCCAACACATGCAGACACATTCAGTCACTTAACAAACACGTGTACCCACACCCCCGAATCACACCTGCACACACACGCCCATGCCAGCCTGCACACACATGAGCACACACCCATGACAACACACACATTTACACACAGTCTCACCCGCGTGTGCACACACGTCCACACTAGCACCCACAAACACACCCACGTGAGCACACACACCCCAACCTCCCACACGCACACACATTCTCCCATGTAAGTGCACACTCACAAACACACGCACCTCTCTCACACACCTGCGTGCCCTGACCACACTGCGGGGAGCCCACAGCTCCCCAGAAGCCCCCATCCCAGGTCCCTCTGCACCCACAGCTCCCATCTTGGCCCGGCAGAGCTTGGGGACCCCGGACTCCATCCACCTGCCCATCCTGCCGGGTCTCTCGCGTGGCACGCGTACCGTAGCCCCACGCCCTGCTTCCCCAGAAAGAAGGCTCGGGGTGAGCAGCCGCACCCGGCTTCCCACCTGCTCAGGTAGCACCTGGTGCCCGCCAGGCCCCCAGGGACCCAGCAAGTCTGGAAATGACACAGGTCCCCGGGGCTCAGGCCACAGGGACCTCACACAGCTATCGTCAATTCCTTCCCCCCACCGGGCCCGCTGCTCCCGCAAGAGGGGCAGGGGGAGGCCAGCTTGCCGCAGGCCTTGACCAGGCGCTCAGAGCCCCGTGGAGCCGAGCCCACGGCTGAGGAGAAGCCCCTGCTGCAGCGGCTGTCAAATGAGCACGTCGCCAGATGAGGCTGCTCTTGGGCCTGGGAGCAGGGCGGGGCGGCTTCGCACCAGGCCCGGGAGCAAAGATGACCTCCAGGGCACCGAGCTCCTAGCAGCTGGGCGGGGCAGGGCAGCGTGGAGACCCTGAGCCCAGGACAGAGCCGCCAGGCCCAAAGCCCAGGAGCATCAGAACCCCCAACTCACGAGGCAGAAGCCCGGCTCCCCCAGCACTGATGGATGCTGACCAGCCTCCCTGCCCAGCCAGCGGGCGCTGGCCCTCGGAGCTCCTGCAGGATGGCAGGCGTCTCCCAGATCTGCCCAGCATCCCTGTCCGGGACCTGCCTCCGGCCCCCCGACGCCTCCCTTCCTGCCTCTGGTCACCCCAACTGGCGGCAGGAGCCCGACCAGGGAGACAGGCAGGAGACCACGCGGAACCCTCCACTGCAGCGAAATCCCCTCCCGAAGTCCCCAGCCAGATGCAGTGAAGGGTGCACCGCACCTACCGTGGCGAGGTGCCGCAGGGGGTCACCGACGTACAGCATGGCAGGCGCCGGGGGCTCTGGACGCGCCAGGGGGCTGGCGTCCCTGGGGACGAGGCATGGGTCTGGGTGGCCGGGCAGGGAAGGGGTGGAGTCGTGGCCGCCCGGCAGGTGGACAGAGGGGGAGAGGCTCCGCGCTAGGGAGGCAGGCGCCAGGGATGCTCGGGAACATGTGGGCTGTTTGTTGGCATTTTCGCTCTTCCCATCTCCCCTAGTTCTGTCAACTGGCTGCATCTAACAACAAAACCGCGGCCCAGCCCCTTATCCTCATGACTATTCATCCGCGTCCAGGGCAGGCCTCAGCTTGCCCGATGATGTGTTGGACCGCACCAAGGAGGCTGCGCGGGGAGGGGCGGGGACGCCGGGTCAGTGCGGCTCCATTATCAAAGCCCTCCAGGGCTCCTTTGGAGACACCCGTGCCCGGGCTAGGCCCTGGGGGCCCCGCGCCCGCACCCCCGCAAGCAGGCTCCGCCCCTGAGCACGAGGGGTGAGCCCTGGCCCTCGAGACCAGGGTAGGCAAGGCTGGGCCACCCCAAAGGGGAGAGATGGTGCCGCTGCCCTTGGAGACCCAGGCGGAGCCAGTCTCCCTACTGCCGGGGAACTTGGTGGTCTGCAGGGACCACCAAGGGCTGAACAGAGAGGACAGGCTCATAGGCTAGTGTCCCGGGGCCCCTCGGAGAGCCAGCTGACGAGAATGAACCTGCCACCCACTACGCGTCCACAGCGGGGGTCCGGCCCAAGAACCCAGTGCTCACGCTCAGAGCCCTGGCCATGCTGCTGGCCTTGTCCTGGCACTTGACAAGCCGCCAGAAACAGGGACGCAGCACTGACGCCAAAGAAGAGCCCAGAGGGACTGCAGGGCCCACCCCACGTGGTGGCTGATGGCCTGGGCACAGCCAGGGGCTCTGCAACGGTGGCCGCCTGGCGGGGGCTTGGAGTGGTTACCGCCACTTCCTTTCGGGGGTGTTCGAATTTCCACTCTGCTGTAGGATCTTTGGTGCAAAGCTGCCCTTGGCAGAGGGGCCTGACCCCCCCGGAAGCAGCCCGGCAGCAACATGCAAACCCACCCTCTGAAGCGGGACACTCGGACCCAAGCTCCAAGCCCCCAGAGCACAGCGGCTTCAGCACACAACAAGTTTAAGAGTCTTCAAGGAGCCACGAGGACAACGCGAGACCCTTTCCTTCCCATCTTGCCCAATCCAGCTCCCTGCCTGTCCCTTCCCGGTCTCCTCCCACCTCTCTCCGGTCTGAGCACCCTAAGAGCTAGCAGGGGCCTTGCTCCCCAGAGAGCTGGCAGAGCCGGGCTCCGGGCACAGGGAAGCTTGGCCCGAGGTCACCAGAGGGGCCTGGAGGACCCGCCCAGGCTCAGGATGGCACTGCATCCGAGGGGCTGGGGCCGGGGGAGCACAGCTCAGGGCCCCGGACCGTGGAGGCCACCGGGGAGGCACGGGCACTCCACTCCGTGTGAGCCCCACTCAGAGCCCCATCCTCGAGGCCACAGGGAGGCACGGGCCCTCCACTCCGTGTGGCTGGGGTCTCAGCTGCCCACAGGCAGGTCCCTCATAATGAGAGAATCGAGAGAAACCCAGTTCTGTTTGCTAGACAGATGTGCAGGAAGGGGGTCTCTGGGGAAACACCTGCGGGGGTCTGCAGTGGGGTGGGGCGAGGCTTGCAGAGGGCGAGGCCCCAGGGCCTGACCGTGAGCTTCCTGCACTGTCGCTGGGCCCTGCTGCAAAGACGCCAGTGGGTGGGAGTTCTTTCCGCCTGCAGAATCTGGGAGGTGGGCTGCCCGAGGCTGGAGGTGTATGATGTCGGGCCAATTCCCAGCCTCCCCACAGCCAGGGGCCTTGCTTGTCAAAAGGGATGAGTGACTGAAGAAGAGACCCAGGTATGTCCCGTGTTCGTTTCATAAATAGCCAAAAAGAAACAGCACAATGGAAGAGGGGCTTGAGGCGTGAAGGACAGATGGCCGACCCGCGCTCAGAGCGCGGCGCCCAGCGTGGCTGAGCCGCTCGTTTCCACCTGCCAAGCGCTGAAGGCCGCCGGCCTCCGCCTCAGAACGGCACCAGCTTCCCGTGACTTTTCCTAAGGCCCCGGCCATTGGGAGGACAGGGACAGGGGCTGGGAGCTGTCCCCCTCCCAGTGTGGCCTCGGCAGCCTCCTCCAGGTGGTCTCAAGGGGTCCTCAGCACCTGCTGGTCTGCTCCTGGCCACACCTGAGGAGGGGGCAGCTGCGACCGGGTGGGCGCCAGTGCCCGCACGGATGGCTCCCGGCACCGCAGGCTGGGGAGGGGCTCCTGCAGCAGGGACAGGAACGCGTCTCCGGGCACCTGCGATGTGTCAGGTCAGGGCCGAACTCACAATGCACAGGGCCCGCGGGGCAGCTGGCTTCGTGCCACCCGTGGAGGAGGCCACAGAAGCTCAGCAGGGCTCTGGGACCTGGGGCTGGAGGGAGCTCAGGTCTGTGCCACCCGAAGTGCCTGGTCACCTAAGCCTGTCCAGGGAAGGGCTGGCGGGGGGCTCATGAGTGCTGCTGGGGGCCGGGGGCTCTCGGAGCAGGCACATGGGGGCCACGCTCTTCCTTCTCCCGGGTCTGGGGAGAAACGCCCCTCCCCAAAGTCAGGAAGGCCTACCCCAGGTGACCTCTGGGTCTCAATCCCCTAAGTGTCCGAGGGTTCTAACCCCGGGCGTCTGTCCTGCTGCTGGGTGCCCTGGGCCCCCGGGCAGGTGGGCCAGCCTTCTGTCCTTGCCTGTTGCAGCCCCACCCTCTGGTGGCCCACCTGCCCACAGCAGCTGTCGCCAGAGAAAGGCGCCAGGAGGGGCGGGAAGAGGGGGAGGGCACAGGCTGGCTCCAGGCCCGGAGGAGGCTGTGGGGGAGGGGAGGGAGGGAGCGAGGAGACCCCCGCCTCTCTCTCTTCTGTCTCCCAGTTTCTTCTTCCCTTCCCTGCATCCTAAGGGCCAGCAGTGCCCAGCCTGGTGTTGTCCGAGGGGTGCTGACACCCCAGAGCAGGGATTCGCCCAGAGCCCAGGCCCAGCTCTGCGGAGCTTCCCTGGGTGAGAATTCGGATTCCTGACCCACGGCCTCCTCGGCCTCCCACCGCGTGAGCTCAGGATGGGCCTTTATCCTGCCCATGCTCCTCCCAGACCAGGAGCCCCCCACCCTATCCCGACGGCATCCAGAGTCCTCTCAAGTGTCCCCTGGTCAGGGCATCTGCGGGGGACCCAGGAGGGCAGGGGTCTCAGTTTAGCCGTGGCTCCCGCCCTCCTAGCCTGGGGGATGTGGGGGCTTCCTCCACTCTCCTCTTGCGGGACGGGGGCCCAGAGTGGGGCCTGTGAGCCGCCTGGGGTCTGCGGCGCGTCTGGCGCCCAGGGCAAGGAGGCCGCCCAGCCGGATGGGGGCGCCACGCCCTCTCAGCCCTGCGCCGTCTCTGCAGTGGCAGCTTCTCGCACGCGGGGCCCCACCCACATCACGCCGGGCCTTGGTCGCGTGCTCCCCGTGGCCCGTGGCCGGGCACCCGCAGACGACAGTTGCTCTCAGTTCCCCTACGCGCAGAGATGGAAGCCGGAAGGGCTATGGCTCTGCGGCGGTTGCCAGGCTAAGAGGGCGGCGGGGATTCCGACCCCAGGAAATCCAGCCCCAGAGTCCCCACCCCGCCCACCCAGCCTCCTGGTCTCCGGGTGCTCTCAGCCCCCGGCGGCAGTGACCACATGGCCCTCTTCCTGCTGCGGCCACATGCAGCTCACAGTCCCCCCAGAACGTCTGAGGCCTGGGGCTCCCCCAAGGCCCACTGGGGGCTCCACTGCTCCTGTCTGGGCCCCGTTCTCTTAAACTGCTGGACTCAGCTTCCTCCCTGGGGCCAGGGGCAGGCGGGTCCAAGGCCCTATGGGGCTGGGTGGACCCGGGACCGGCCCCCCGTGAGTCTGTGGCGTCTCCTGAAGGGCTCGCTTCTCTAGCCCACCCCCCGCCCCAGTCACCCCAAGTTCAGAGCAAGGACACAGAGGCTCGGAGGGGTGCGACGCCCTGCCTGTCTACCCCCGGCTGCTAAGGCAGTGGCCGCAGGCGTCACGGGGGCGTGCGACGGCTGCCTTCTGCCCGCGGCCACGGACACTGCTCAGGACCCTGCGGCCGACCCGACTGGAACCAATCTGCCCATCCGAGGTGGGGGAGACCCAAGTCCCCCGACATGGAAGGCGCCCATCACTGCAGAGGACCAATATCCTGTCCTCTCAAGGGCCGTGTTGCTCATGTCGAGCCCCTGGGGGGGATGAGACCCACAGCCCGGTGGGGGGTGTGGCCCCAGAGTGTGGGCAGCACTGGGGGAGGGACAGCCAGAGCGTGCCCCGTGGGGCAGGTGGGGACGGGCACATTTGGGCTCGCGGCCCTCTTCCAGAACCAGGAGCCCCGGGAGCCTCTTAGTTTGCCAGAACTGCCTCTGTTTTTTTTTGACAGCGTCTCGCTCTGTCACCCGGGCTGGAGTGCAGTGGTGGCATGACAGCTCACTGCAACCTCAATCTCTGAGCTCAAGCGACCCTCCTGCCTCGGCCTCACAGAGTGCTGGGATTACAGGCGTGCGCCACCCACTGCCCCAGCATCCCCACCGAGCGAGGTCCGGGTCCCCAGGGCCCTCAGCTTCCTCCCTGGGCTCCAGGGCTGGACTTTAGAACAGTGTCCCCGGTCAGCTCCAGTCCCTCAGCAGGCAGGGAAGCCACGCTCAGGGCGGCTAAGCACAGGGGCCCTGCAGCCAGGCCGCCCACACGGGGCCAGTCACCCTTGCTTCTCTGAGCCCTGGTCTTGGCACCTGGCGCTGCCGTGGGGGCTGGAGCGGGCACACACGCCGTTGGACCAGGCAGCGGGTCGGGATGAGGCTTGCAGAGGGCCTAGGATGGGACTGGGGGGCGTCACCCGGACCAGGGCAAGAAGGTGGAACTTTGACCTTTCCCCCCTTCCCTTCCAAGCATCCTGTTTTGCCAACAACTTTGGGACAAGGGCCATGACGCCTCCCTATCCAGGTCCCCATCCTGGACACCAGTGTCATCCGGTCTGGGAGGGACAGGGGCTGGCCTCCGGGCTCCAGGGAGGGAGGACCAGCCTTGGCTCCAGGGAGTCCCCACCTCCGTGCTCTGAGCTCTGCACCCAGGAATTTCATCCTCGGCTTTACTGTGCGGCGTGTCGCTACCTGACCGATGCGGCCGTCT